TTCCAGTTATTTTTTAATCCAACATCCTCTAGACGTCAGTTCAAACGGACGCCTGCTTTTTTTTACCTCCCATATACTCAGACTATTTGACTTAAGTCCGTATTTTCTAGATTTCAGATGAAAAATTGGGAATTTTCCAACGTATTTCAGTGAAATTTTCACTTTCCAAAATTATAATTTACTAGAAATACCCGTGAAAATTTCATAAGTTTCCTATTTGAATTTTCTGATAAATCTTAATTCTTAACTTTACTATTCAATAAGCTCATGGCGAGTTCCATGACAATAAAATATCCATAGAAATTCGAAATTACATCGTTAAATATTTGAACTTAACAACTTCAACAAAATATTGCAATAACAATCATAAGTATTAATGCTGGTCATCATTTTAAGAAGTGGGTATAAATGAAAAGATTTGAAATCGACAATTTTTTCCATTTCACTTTAAACAGCCATAAAAAAATTTCTACCTTCTCTTCTTCCTTTTTTTTTCTTTCATTTATTGTCAATCAAAACGGAACAATCCATTATTTATGAGGTATTGGCAGAAGACATTAAACACTTCTATATCATCACTTCATTCTAGCCAAATCCCCGTCTTACGAACATTTCTTTTAATAATAATTTTAAAATAATTCAGCTAACGGTGTTATTTTATTTAACGTAACTGTTTTTTTGTTTTGTTTTTTTTTTTTTTGTCGATTGCTTTCCGTCGTTCGATACTTTCCATCTGAAAAATAGCGGCGACTTTTTATAGATTATCTAAACAAACATCACTTCTCGCCGCTTTCAAGAGTCGGGGAGGGTACACAATCTTAAGCTCAAGCCCCCTTTGCTTCCTCCCAGACAGTACCTCTTCTTGGAGAGGGCGCTGGGTTTATTGCCTGGTGCCTGAAACGTCACCAAAAGGGGATATGCCAAGGGGGGGGGGCAATTTTTCTACGGTACTGTCGGTAAACCCACTCGAAACTTCGATCTTGTGTCACATTCGGTAAAGACGTGGGCGTGTTGAAAAATACAATCGCTTCTCGGCCTTTTGGCTGTGGTCTATATGTAATACTGTTCTTAGCTTAATCTGATTCTCTCTCTCTCTCTCTCTCTCTCTCTCTCCTATCTTCCCTTCCTTCTTTCTTTCATTTTCTCGCTGAAAACAAGTAATGTCTTTCCCCCTCTTTCTACGTGATCAAAACGCGGAATAGTCCATTATTTAAAAGGTATTGGCAGGGCGTAACGGTCGTGCGAACTAACGAAGGTAGGGACAAGCACAATCATAATAGGATATTGTTTAGATATAAAGAAAAAAGACGGCGTCCGTTTAAACTAATACCAGGAGGATCTGGATAAACTTGTCTCAATCTCCTTTGGCTGATGAATGACCTGTAACATCGCCAATCGGATACAGAACTATCACCAATCACGATGAACGGATGTTACCTCAGGGAAGCCCTGTGCCTTGATTGCTTCTTGGGACTTATTAAACTTAACCCAAACCTCAAGTGTAATTCGTACATACGATCCATCGCTAAATATACTGGAAAAACGATCGGTTCCTTGTACTGCTTCAGTATGTACCTGACTCCCTCTGTTATCATCTACCTTTACAAGAGTCAAATCAGGCTGAAAATGGAGTACTGTTGCCACATATGGGCAGAAGATGCCCACCCTTCACTTTCCAGTCTCGATAGAATTCAAAAGCCTCTCCGCGTTCTTCTGGATAAAGAATTATTTTCCACCCTACAACACCTTTCTCACAGACGAAACGTCATAAGCCTCTCGATGATCTCTCGCTATTTCCATGTAAAGTGTTCAGACGAACAACATCCCTTAGTTCCCCCAGTTCTAACCTTCACGGCTAAGACCCGCTATGCTACGTACATTGTACGGAACCACCTTCATTCCCTTCGTATTCCATTAGTGAGATGTAAGTTCCTTTCGAGCAGCTTCTTCCCACGAACCTTTGCTTTGTGGAACTGACTCCCAGGAAGATGTTTCCCCGATTACTACAATCTTAACCTGTTCAAGTCTAGGATTAACTGTTATCTTTTCCATATATCCGCATAATTTGTGTCTCTTACTCTATAACCCTCTACCTCGAGTGACTCTCGGGCTCTCAGTAGGATTCGAACGTTCGTCCTCCTTTGCCGCCCTTCAGGCAGGTAGACGCAATTAAATACTGTTTAAAAAATGAATGGGTACCCACTAAAAATAACGAAGGTGTATGCAATAGAGCTGAAGGGTAGAATAGCGACTTAATAAGCGTAGTTCGAATATGGCACAAGGCCGAATGTATGGAGTACCAAATGAGGAGCGATCTTACTCCTCGAGACAAGCTTTCTAGTCATCACACCACGTCGAAACACCCAAGGTTAGTGTAAAGTCATAGGAAGTCGGGAAAAACATATTGAATAATGACGCTATGAATTAATATGAATAAAAGAAACCTTCTGCTTTAAATATCATGTAATGCTCATTGTAACTGAAAGGCGGGGTAAGTTCATAGAAAGACGCCTGAATAACGATTATTACATTACGTATTTAGGTGTCCCATAATGCACTTTCATCATCATCATCATCATCATCACCAGTGCCTTGACTGCTTCAGTCGTAGAAAGCCCTTCCGGTTTCTGGATTACCTACCACCTACAAAATCTTCACAAATTTAAATGCAACGTCAGTCGCCATCTTGTGTGTTGCTGGATCCTATTTTTTTTATTTTTCTTATTGTCCTTTTATTCGCTTCTCTTCACTAAAGTCTTCTCATTCTCTCTCACTCCTTGCGTTTTAGTAGAATTATCGCCTTGCTTGGAGTGTAATGAATTAAAAAAAAATTCTGTAATGAAATCATTTCCAATGTATTTACAAAATTAAAGCTTGAATTTTCTACTCAGATTGAATGCAAAAAAAAAAAAAAAGGAAAGGTATTTATTTATCTCCCTTTTGTATTTAACATTGTCATTATACTTAACACTCAGAATTTTTTCTTTTTTTCTTTTTTAGGTAAACCGAACAATTAAGACAATGAACCATTATTCCATGACAGACATTCTTCATGAATTCGGATGTCACTCTCATCTTTTTCCTTTTCTGGACATTCCGTTGTGTGGCTGGGACTAACATGCTAATTTCGCCATTGATTTCTACTATAATGAGTTTGATCTACACTGGATGCTATACTATGCTAATATAGTAAATATCAATTTTATTCTTTGTGCTTTAACTTTCAAATTGACTAAATTTGGGTCACTTACGATCAAAAACTTACCAGTTCAGTATTTTAAATCCGTAAGATTTTTTCGCGTTTTAAAAGAAATTTACAGGTTTTTGAATACAAAGAAATACTTAAGGGTCAATTCAGTTAATTCTTTTGTCAATTCAAATTTGTTCATTCACTTTATCGTTTTTGCCTCAAATCATAAGAATAAAAATAACATTTGGTCAATACATTTTCATTAAAATAATAAAACAATTATTTTTCTAAGATGTAAACTATCGGTCAACAAAAACCGATTGAATTTATATAAAACAACGTTTGAAAAGCTAAGTATTTTATATTACTTCTGGGAACATTGTACATTGTTTATGCACATTGATGTTTAATATGAATTCGTTTCCTTGATGTCTTCTAAAAATAGAATATATTTGGTTATTAATCTGCTATATATATATATATATATATAAATAGATAGCTAGATAGAAGACACAGATAGATAGATAGATAGATAGATAGATAGATAGATAGATAGAAGACATAGATAGATAGTAGACTTAGATAGATAGATAGATAGATAGAAGACATAGATAGATAGTAGACTTAGATAGATAGATAGATAGATAGAAGACATAGATAGATAGATAGATAGATTTAAAAAAAAACAATAATTTATTTTGAACTGTTTACAAATTGCCATAAAATTGACGGCCTATGTAAATCTGTGAGGAAAAGTACTTAAAATTAAAATTAAAATTAAAATAAATGCTTTAAAAAACAAACAAACTATAATTTGTTTTGTTCAGCTTCTGGTAATATTCTCTATTTCAGATTATTCCTGGTCATTGCCACAATGATTAAGCCACCCCATGAATGGAAACCTCTGGTCAGCCTCAAACCAATGATTGAATCAAATCACTACCGCATGGCACGTACATCAGTCCTTCCGAACTATGTATGCTTGGATTCTTGCAGAAAAATCCAGGAATCATTTCCTGATGATAGCATAAGGCGCCAACCGTTCGAGATACGTGACTGGAGATACAAATTTAAAACTGGCGACTTGATCAGAATTCCATTATCGAATATAATGACCAGCCCACTTGAAAACGAGGCTCGCATAGCAGACAAAAAATTAAACGACTGCAAATTGACATACTCAGAATCTGGTACAATTTCAAACGAAGATGAAGGACTCGCGCTGAAGAAATCTGCTAAAATGAGCAGACATGTGTCTAACAATAGATTTCAGGACAGTTCTAAGCAGAACTATTCATATGTTTTTACATTGCCATTGCCGAGAAGTTCAGTAATAACATTTTCATCGCAAACTAACCGTGACCAATATGGCAGTATACTTCGAGAAAATGTCAGGGATACACGGAGAAACAATACAGAAAACCACTTCCGAAACAGCAGTTCTGAAATTTCAAGACCAAAGTTTCCAAATAGTTTCAAATCATTAAAAGTTCCGTTCTCAAGTCAAGCGATCAACGTCAAGTTAAAAAGGAACTTCAGATACAAAGTGAGTGCTAGCGAATTACCTCGCTCAAAGACACCGCTCAACGAAAGGGACCCAGACAAAATAAGCTTTAAGAATGTCGCCTCGTTCCTATCCGATGATCTGGGAAGCTGTAGTTCCGTGGACGACAATGAGCGGCTGGATTTCGGCATAGATGCGACGGAAACAGCAAACGACATTCCCGGCTCAGATACGCCAAGTGAAGAATTCTTTGACTTTTGTCATCAAAATGGCTCTTCTCCAAAGCTGTCCGAAAATGTGGAAGCGATGAATTTAGTGAGTGCTGATATTTTCACCTCGCCCCCACGTAGTGTGCATTCCTCCGGGGCGTTCAAGACATCTTTCCGTCTCCGTCGGGCGCCAAAGCATGGAGTGAAAACAAAAAGAGAAAAGGACTCTCATGACGCCCCTTCGCATAACGATTCCAAGCCTCGTTCAAAACTTCAAAGATTTTTAGATTTTGGTATCAGCACCCGTGTGAGAACAATGTATAAAGATGGCTTTGATTCTGCAACCCGATCGAAGGAATTTCTACAAGTGCCTACCGAACACGCTGGCCTTGAAAAGCAAATGGTCGTTGCTGGCAGCGATGCATTTGAAAACAGTCAACACACAAACAGCAAGTGTCAGATGGAAATGAGGGAATGCAATACTGATAAGATCCTTTCCGAGAAAGATTGCAAGAGTTCTGCTGAGACCGGTAATCCACGTCAGCATTCTTTTGTTTATTTAGACAAAAAAGTCTATTGCAAAAAGAACTCTATCCAAAAAAGTAAGTCAGACCTGGCCGGTATTACAGTTAAAGACAAAACATGCTCACTCCAGGAAAAAAGCGCGAAGAACCCCGAAAATGGTAGTACAATTAAGTACAGCCATTCCGTGGTCATCATTCCTGCCTGTACACCAGTGACCAACGATGGCGGAAATTCGAGCGATTCTGAAATTACATCTGAGTTGGCTGACCAAGCAACGGTCGACAATCGCCATTCGCGGCCTTCGAGCTCGGCGAATTTCAGCTGCAAAACTGCCGCGCCGTTATACTCTGGTTCGAGTTTAGCTTCGAATACGGATGCATCCACATGTTCTATATTATCTCAACAAAAACAAGAAACCAGTCAAAGACGTCGGAACCAAAGTCGAAAGCTAACGGCAAAAGACGAACCAGAAGAAACTGTTGCATCAAAACTCAAAGACTGTTCTTCAGTGAAGCTTACTTTCAGAAAAGAAAGAATTACATCCCGTAAGAATACCGAGTTTCTAAGTAAATTCTTGACTTCTATAAAAAATGAACAGAAAAAAACTTTCTAATCCTGGATATGAGTGAATATTAAAAGATAAATAAATATAATTTAATTTAAACTTTCCATTGCTTAAAAAATAAAATTAGGAAGCATTTTAACAAATTAAAGGTAAAAAATGTTTCACTGACAAAATGCCTGTTGCGATTCAGTTTATATAACTGGTACAATTAAAAATCTGTGGTCCGTGAGAATGTGCGTGACGTCATCGCAAAAATGGAAAGAATTCACCCCCTTGTATTCAAATATATTTGAGTCCTCTTTTTAATAATTTCAGCATTTCACTCGATGAACTTCGCAGTGCTTGTTGTTTGTTTAATTCACTAATTATTCTTCCATGTGCCTTGTCCCTTCAAGACGTTGGTAATCATGGCTCTCCAAAATTTGCTGTTGTTTGTAGCTCTTAATAAATTTTGTTCTTTGATTATCTCCCCTAAACCCTGCTCTGCCATCCATTTAATCAAGCTCTCTAGGTAGATTATGCGTTGTTTTCCTTTGTCCCTCTTGCCTCCAATCTGTCCTGTGAGTACCAAATTTTCCCAGCCCTCTTTCCTCATCATGTGCCCTAGAAATTTCAACTCTCTTTCTGATGTTACGTATAAGTGTCCGTTTTGGTTCCATTTTTCGCTAAAGCTTCCTCGTTGTTCACATGTTCAATCCATGGTATTCTCAGCATGCTTCTGTATAACAACATTTTTGTTGCTTTAAGTCTCTTCTTCATCTGTTGGGAGATTGTACACAATTCCCTGTCATATAGGACGACTGATATTACGTAACAGTTCAGTACTCTTCTAACGAAATTCTAACCCATTCTAACTAAATTTTTCTGTTTCTTAATACTTTGCTTAGCTTTCTGAAGGCGTCTTTCTCTATGTCAATGCCCCTTCGGATTTTGACGTTGCGCTTAAAACACTTCTCAGATATTTAAATTGTTGAGTCATTTTAATAATTTAATTTCTTTGTTTCTACCTCATAACTGCGGATGGCTCGTGTCTGGCTATGGGCTTGCTCGGACGTCTTTCATTATTGCAAACAGCGGCAGCTCGAAATTAAACGCATATTTCCGTGACGTCACACACATTTAAGTACGGACCACAGTACTTGATTTAGATGAGTACATTTATCTTACTTACAATGGTTGCTTTCCTTTATTTACGTAGTCCAACACAAAACGAAATTCGATCTATCTCCAAAACCTAGAAGACCAGAGCTTGGCACCTGATCTCTCCTTTGACCGAGCTCTAACAGCTCAATGGGGGTGGGGAGAACTGGCCACTCACATTCAATGCCTCTAAAACAAAACCAATGGTATCCACCATCTCCGATCGAACCCAGACCAATCACCAATCGCGAAGAACGAAAATTCTCTCAGGGAGGGCCCGTATCTATTGGGATTTAAGCCCATCCTCGATCTCTAGTGTAACTCGTACATACGATCCATTGCTAAAGATACTGGAAAAATGGTCAGCTTTTTGCACCGCTCCAGCATGTACCTGACTCCTTCTGCGATCTTCCACCTTTACAAGAGCCAGATCAGACTTAAAATTGAGTACTGTTCCCACATATGGGCAGGAGATGCCCACCCTTCATTTTCCAGTCTCGATAGAATGCAAAAGCCTCTCCGCGTCCATGTGGATGGTGAATTATTTTCCACTCCACAACACCATTCTCCCAGTCGAAACGTATCAATCCTATCGCTATTTCCATGGAAAGTGTTCAAATGAGGTTCGTTCCTTAATTCCCCCAGTTCTAACCTTCACGTCTAAGACCCGCCATACTACGTACATTGTAGGGAAACACCCTCATTCCCTCCGTATTCCATTGGCGAGATGCAGCGTCTTCCAACAAACCTTTGCTTTGTGGGACCGACTCCCAAGAAGATACTTCCCCGATCACCACAATCTTAACCTGTTCAAGTCTAGGGTTAACTGTTATCTTCTCTATATATCTCATGTTCCTTTGGGGAGGTGCCTTGAGCACCTATTGGGACTTGATCACATCTCAAACCTTAAGTGGAACTCGTATATACAATCCATCGCTAAAGATGCTGGAAAAATGGTCGGTTTCCTGTACCGCTCCAGCATATACCTGACTCATATCTTCTACTTTTACAAGAGCCGGATCAAGCTGAAAATGGATTACTATTGCTATTATATGGGCAGGAGCTGCCAACTCTTCCCTTTCCATTCTCGACAAAGTTCAAAAACGTCTCCGCGTCCTTTTCGTTAACGAATTATTTCCCACCCAACAATCCTTTTCCCACAGACGAGACGTCGTAAGCCTCTCGCTGCTTTATCGCTATTTCCATGGAAAGTGTTCAGTTGAACTGCTCTCCTTCGTTCCACCAGTCCTAACCCTCACAACTGAGACCTCCCCCCCCAATGCCACATACATTGTAGCGAACCACCCTCATTCCCTTCGTTTTTTTTTTGTTTTGTGGTGAGATGTTACACACGAGCAACTTCTTCCCGCAAACTCCCGTGGAACCGACTCCCAAGAGGTTGCATCCCCGATCCCTACAATATTAATCTGTTCAAGTCTAGGGTTAACGGTTATCTTCCACATATATCTGCATAAACTAGGCCTCTTATTCTGTAACCCTCTACCTCAAGTGACCCTTGGTCCTTATATACAGGGTGAACATCATTGCTGTAATCTATTCAAGTCTAGGGCTAACCGTTATCTTCCACACATATCTGCATAAACTAGGCCTCTTATTCTGTAACTCTCTACCTCAAGTGACCCTTGGTCCTTATACAGGGTGAACATCATTATTGCTGTAATCTATTCAAGTCTAGGGCTAACCGTTATCTTCCACACATATCTGCATAAACTAAGGCCTCTTATTCTGTAACCCTCTACCTCAAGTACCCTTGGTCCTTATACAGGGTGAACATCATTATTGCTGTAATCTATTCAAGTCTAGGGCCATTAACTGTTATCTTCCTGTAACATATCTGCAATCTAAACTAGGCCTTATCTTATTCTGTAAGGCCTCTTATTCTCTAACCCTCTAGTGACCCTTGGTCCTTATACAGGGTGAACATCATTATTGCTGTAATCTATTCAAGTCTAGGGCTAACCATTATCTTCCACACATATCTGCATAAACTAGGCCTCTTATTCTGTAACCCTCTACCTCAAGTGACCCTTGGTCCTTATACAGGGTGAACATCATTATTGCTGTAATCTATTCAAGTCTAGGGCTAACCGTTATCTTCCACACATATCTGCATAAACTAGGCCTCTTATTCTGTAACCCTCTACCTCAAGTGACCCTTGGTCCTTATACAGGTGAACATCATTATTGCTGTAATCTATTCAAGTCTAGGGTTAACCGTTATCTTCCACATATATCTGCATAAACTTGGCCTCTCATTATTCTGTAACCCTCTACCTCAAAACTAGGCCTGACCCTTGGTCCTTATACAGGGTGAACATTATCATTATTGCTGTAATCTATTCAAGTCTAGGGTTAACCGTTATCTTCCACACATATCTGCATAAACTAGGCCTCTTATTCTGTAACCCTCTCTACCTCAAGTGACCCTTGGTCCTTATACAGGTGAACATCATTATTGCTGTAATCTATTCAAGTCTAGGGTTAACCGTTATCTTCCACACATATCTGCATAAACTAGGCCTCTTATTCTGTAACCCTCTACCTCAAGTGACCCTTGGTCCTTATACAGGGTGAACATCATTATTGCTGTAATCTATTCAAGTCTAGGGTTAACCTGCATAAACTAGTTATCTTCCCTCACATATCTGCATAAACTTAGGCCTCTTATTCTGTAACTTCCACATACCTCAAGTGACCCTTGGTCCTTATACAGGGTGAACATCATTATTGCTGTAATCTATTTCAAGTCTAGGGCTAACCGTTATCTTCCACACATATCTGCATAAACTAGGCCTCTTATTCTGTAACCCTCTACCTCAAGTGACCCTTGGTCCTTATACAGGGTGAACATCATTATTGCTGTAATCTGTTCAAGTCTAGGGTTAACCGTTATCTTCCACACATATCTGCATAAACTAGGCCTCTTATTCTGTAACCCTCTACCTCAAGTGACCCTTGGTCCTTATACAGGGTGAACATCATTATTGCTGTAATCTGTTCAAGTCTAGGGTTAACCATTATCTTCCACACATATCTGCATAAACTAGGCCTCTTATTCTGTAAACCTCTACCTCAAGTGACCCTTGGTCCTTATACAGGTGAACATCATTATTGGCTGTAATCTATTCAAGTCCCTAGGGTTAACCGTTATCTTCCACACATCTGCATAAACTAGGCCTCTTATTCTGTAACCCTCTACCTCAAGTGACCCTTGGTCCTTATACAGGGTGAACATCATTATTGCTGTAATCTATTCAAGTCTAGGGCTAACCGTTATCTTCCACACACATATCTGCATAAACTAGGGCCTCTTATTCTGTAACCTCTACCTCAAGTGACCCTTGGTCCTTATACAGGGTGAACATCATTATTGCTGTAATCTGTTCAAGTCTAGGGCTAACCATTATCTTTACATATCTGCATCTGTTCTGTAACTCTCTGCCTCTAACTAGGTAATCCTTCAAGTCTAGGGCTTATTTCCACATATCTGCATAAACCCTCTTGTTCTGTACCTCAAGTGACCCTTGGTCCTTATACAGGGTGAACATCATTATTGCTGTAATCTATTCAAGTCTAGGGCTTAACCATTATCTTCCACACATATCTGCATAAACTAGGCCTCTTATTCTGTAACCCTCTACCTCAAGTGACCCTTGGTCCTTATACAGGGTGAACATCATTATTGCTGTAATCTATTCAAGTCTAGGGCTAACCATTATCTTCCACACATCTGCATAAACTAGCATTCTGTAAAACCTCAAGTGACCCTTGGTCTTATTCATTGTAATCTATTCAAGTCTAGGGTTAACCGTTATCCCACTACATATCTGCATAAACTAGGCCTCTTTATTCTGTAACCTCTTGGTCCTTATACAGGGTGAACATCA